ATTCCTTAATCGTATGGATCCATTTCTCATCATATTAATTGAATTGTGTTCAGTTTATTATAGAAATTATTTTAGATTTATTATTTAAATTTTTATGAGCCTTTTAATATTTTATTTATATTTTTTTGGACTTATAAAAATGAGGACATTCATTTTACAAAGTTATAAAAAATCAAATAAAGTTTTAAAATTATTTTGTTAATTTTAAATTTTTTATAACATCTCATGGGGCCAATAGTACACATGGGCCCGCCAAGTGGCAAGAGGTGGGGCGTACACGTACCACATATGGGTGGCACTTCCCACCCGTTTGAATCCCTTTTTTGGTTGCTTTGTGATAAGTTTTAAAAGTTTGGACAGTGTATCTTATGACATGTGGTCAATTTGTAATTTAGTAAATATTGACCATATCTTATCTAAATGAGATAGCATATATTAACTTGATATTATTTGATATATTCTTATGGAATATATGAGATGGATTATGCAATTTTATGGATTGCATAATATTTTAATAAATTTAATTTATTGATAAGAAAATGGTTTAACGAATGGGGGATAATAGTCCACGCACCTTCCATAATGTTGATGACCAATCTATGGAATGGATGACTTAGATCTCTCACTCCACAAGTCACTCTGATCAACGGTCCATATTCAATCTCAAGAAAGAGACAAACTATGAGAAATCCTAAGAAACCCTAAACCTAACTTTGCACTATAAATAGGGGTGTACTCTCCCCTATTCTCTACACCTTCTCTATCCCACAACTCTTTCTATCTCATTTCTCTCCTAGAGGGGCACGTCCCACTCTCTCTCCTCAATATTTCTCTCTCTAACTCTCTCTCTCTCCTAAGACCCATAGGGGCTATGCCCCAACCCTAGGCCTCCTACTCTCTCTTTCTCTCTTGACCTAAAGATACTAAGGGTTGGGAAATTAGGGTTAAGCCTAAATTATTTTGGGGTTAGGGGTTTGTAGAGATTTAAGGGTGCTTACTCAGTTTAGCCGAAATTAGCTTTTTCTGTTCAAGATTGAAGCTAGACCGTTGATCATGTGCCATCGGATGTTGATGACTCGGTGTGGGGTGTAATAAGCCCGTTTGAAGCAATACCCGGCATCTTCTTTTATTTGATGCAAATTTATCTTTATTCCCAAGCACAATATTTAGTTGTATAAATGGCATCAAGTGGTTGAGTTTTATTTTATTGTTAAGTTGCCTTTATTTTGAAATATTTATTGATTGTAATAAGACCATCTGTAAGTTATCTTTTGGCCAAAGCAAAAGGGGTGAGTATTAAAATATACATAAAAAAAATTATATTCACCCGCAAAAGATCACCTAGGTCTTTCTTTCAGGAAAGACCTTCCCAAAGTAAAAAAAGCCTCACCACATACCCTGATGTGGTAAATGAAATAATCTATGATACTAGATAAATATAACTTTTTCGAGTTTTTCGAGCACCACGTTTAGAATGCCATTCCAAAGAAAGAGAGAGTGCTGATATAATATTTCATTTTTATGGAAAAGCCAAAACTTCTATATTATAAGAATCGATTTTGGAAAAAGTATATATATAGGTTGGCACCTTTTTCTTTTTCTTTTTTGACAAAGTTCCATAACTTTATTTATCAAAGAGAATTACAAAGAGATTAAACAATAACAACATCTAAAATAGTTAAAGCATGCATAGAGATGCCTTTCCTAGCCAAAGAATCCACCACTTCTGAAATGTAGAATTAAGGTGCACCTCTAAAATCCTTTGAAAAATGTTCTTTTGATGTTGGAAAAATATATAATTGATTATCTTGAGATAGAGACGTATATGTATAGAGAAAAAAAGAGATTTCAAGTCGTAAAAATAGTATATCTTGTAACACATTATCTGGATCATTCATTTTCAAGATTTTCATGCATCTATAGATCTCCTTGATTTGAACTATTATTATAATTTTAAATGTTATAATTAGAGATAAATATAGATTCTCGCTCCACCCTAAGAATTTTCGACATGAAAATTCCATCTCATAACAAAGTTTATAGGTACACCTTACTTTAACTGTTTAAGGTTGCAACCTTATGCACACCACACCCATTTATTTTTATTAGAAAAAACGGAACAAACACCTCTAGCCCTTAGATATGAAATTGGGTGCATTCCAATTTCATTTTTGCTTCAAAGTTAAAAGCGTAGTTATTGTTGTTATTAGTGGGGATCTAATCAATCCAATTTTTCATGTGATAGCTAAAAATGATTATGACTTTTTATACCAAAAGTAAACAATCTAATTATATCATGCCACATATGGTGTACATTTCATTTATTTTAACCATTTCATTTTCTTTTCCCCATAAAAAGCCAAAACCTCAAACACTTGATGGTTGGTAGCAAACATAAGATGGGAGATAAGCTAGGTGACTTAGACATGATAATGATTATGGATGGTAAAATAGGGACATTCATTCTCTTAACTAACTAAGAAAACCAAAACAACAAGAAGCCAAAAGAAGCTCCACTAATCCTAATCTTAATCCCCTAGGTAAAGAAGGTTGACCAATGCCATTCCACGGCAATCATAGCCTTTTTGAAAGATGAAGAAGTGATTTTCTTAGTCAGAGTTTCAAAAAGGGATGACTCGGGTTCGGACTCATCCATGTCGTCGACACAAACCCTGGAATCAGGGTTAGTTTGGGCTATAAACAAGTTGGGCTTGAATAGGTCTTGGACCCGACAGAGTCACCTGGACCTGACTCCCTGCATTAGGTAGTGTCTAGATCTACTTATAAAAGAAAAAAAATTATTATATAATTTTGTAATTTATTGATCGACCATCCTGACTATTAGGTGTGGGTAACGGGTCGACCTGACTCGGGAGTATATTTGGGTCGTATTTTTGGACCTGATGGGTCGGGTTTAGATTCAAAAATAGGTATACAAAGTCAGGTTGGGTAGGATCTAGGCCTAGGTTGACCCTAGCAACTTGAATATTTTAGATGCACTATTTATTTTATTATAATAATATTAATCTACCATTTTTTTGTCATATATTTTATACAAACACGGTTTTTAGGAGTCCATATAAAAATGAATCACCTCTTAAAAGTCTATTTTTGGGATGGATTTTTTTACTTAATTTTTGAGGACATGTAATCTCTAACATGGAGATCATAAATATGAACAACTAAATAAATTTTCATTTTTTTTTTTAAATAATTTTATTAAGAAAACATTTGAGCTGTTAATTTCAATTGTTTTTAGATGGATCACCTATTTGCATCCATCCTTAAGATGGATGCTTTATACCTTGGGACCATATATTGTAGAAATGTGGTCCAGCCCGCATGAAACAAATTTCTTTTATATAAACTAAATGACATAATTTTTTATACAATGTACTATTATATATCTTAGTATAAATTAAAATAATATATTATTAGAATAAAGAACAATTATTTCATGCATGCTGTACCACATTTCTACAATATGCGGTCCAAGATATAAAGCATCCATCTTTAAAGATGGATGCAAATAGGTGGTCCATCTAAAAACAATTGAAACTACAAATGTTTTCTTGGTAGAACTATTATCTCTAATTTTCAAAATGTATTTATTTTTTTATACTCATGATCTTCACGTTAGAGATTATACGTTTTTAAAAATTAAGTAAAAAAATCCATTTCAAAAATAGATTTGTAAGAGACAACTCATTTCTCATAGACTTATATAATCCGTGTCCTAGTATAAATTATATATAGAAAACATTGATTTTGTAATATAAAAATATATAAATTTTTTTTTGATATATCTTTCTATTTATGGGGTCTGTGTCTAACTTAGACCTAGTTGGGTCAGGATCGACCCGGATCCAACCCAACTCATTCCCAACCCTCCTAACCACATGGCCTTGAACCCATTCTAGTCTAGACCCAACCTAGGTGGGCCCTACCAGGCTATTTACCACAATCTTTAGGTCATAATGCATTCTACTCTTCTTTGATTTTTTGCCGAGTCAGCTCGATCAATCCGAGTCCCGGTCATAAGCACTGTGTCCTTCCACTTAAGGAAGCAATTTGTCGTATCATTATAAATTTAGTTGAAGGGGGGGGGGGGGGGCCAAAAGAGAAAAGCAAGGCGGTAGTGCGAGAGTCAGCTGCGCGTGAGAGCCACCCACTAATACTCAACTTACCCTCCCTCTCCCTCTATTTTCAATATCTCCATTAATATTTATTTCTTCAAAAACATTTAATGGTGATTTCTCTCTATAGAACTCTCTCAATCTCTCTTCGTTTTGAGAAACCCCTCTAAACACTGGGGGCAAAAGCAGCACCTCAATAGTCTTTACTGCTAGAGACAGAAAGGAGCGATGCTAGTTTCTAGTGAGAGAGTGTTTAATAACAAAGAGAGAGAGAGAGAGAGAGAGAGAGAGAGAGAGAGAGAGGGATCCTCATATCTTTCTTGTTTTTTGTGAGAGAGAGTTGAGTTATTATTCTTAGTTTCCTCTAATCATCCATGACAAAAGAGTTTGTAGAGAGAGAGAGAGAGAGAGAGAGAGAG